ATAAATTAAATAGCCAAAATGTGCTTTTTACTGTTTTGTCTTGCTTTTCAAAGAAAAAAAATCAATAACAAAACAAAAATTGATATATTATATTATAATATTTTATAATATTTATAAATTATATATTTATATTATAATATTTTTAACATTCTAGCAGACATTATACCAACAAAGCACAATTTAAGTTGTAAGTAAAATACTATTTTTGGCCATTTTTGAGACCCCTTCTTGAATCAGACTTGTATTTTTTTTACTGTACAAATAAATGCAGCCTTGCTGAGCAGAAGATAATTCTTTTTTAAAACATTCCGGTGGCATACAGACGAAATTATGAAAATTGTGTTTGTGTGTTTATATTTACATATTTATATTTTTTTAGCATTTTATAACTGAGAATAATTGACTTTTGTCATGTGAGTGTGTGTATACAGATTTGTGAACAATATTTCAGAAAAATAGGCCTTTTGTGTACATAGAAAAAGTCTTAGATCTTTGAGTTCAGCTCATGAAAAATGGGGGCAAAAACAAAAGTGTTGCGATTATAATTTTGTTCACTGTATGAATGAAATCAAATGACTTTATTTTTTCTTCTTTTCTTCTCTCTTGTCAGCTGTAACACTTCAGTTTCAGGTTCTCGTCTCTCTCAGTCCATCACCGTTGAGGAGGACAACTGCTGTGGCTGTAACGTTCTTGCCATCCGACGACAATTTCTGGACCAAGACCTTAAAGAAGTCCAGATTGTCTACACATCCTGCCATGACGCAGTACGGCATCTTAAATTAATTCTTCAGCTCCCCTGACTTAATCCTGAAAAATCCCGAGGCGTAATGTCTAGTGTGATAAATGTCTGTTCACATCAATGAGTCACCGCCTGACTAAAATAGCTAAATTTGAGAAGCTGTAGCTAATGTGATAAATGTGAAGCATGTGATCAAGACAAGTTATTGTCTGTATTTTTGATGGGATCTGCAGGTTTATGAGACACCCTTCTTTGTAGCAGTGGATCATGCGAAGAAAAAAGTCGTGATCAGCATCAGAGGGACGTTGTCCCCTAAGGTGGGTCAACAACGCAGCTCTTTCTCATTTTACACATAAGCACATGAGGTCAGGCTTCATTGTATGTTCATAGAATTAAAATAGTAGCTGTTTCTAAGCAGAGTGCTTAAGCAGTGACATAAGAAAGTGCTTTAACACATTTTAAGGATGAAAATAATAATTCAGTCATCAGTCATCCATAAACTATACATCCGACTGCAAGTACCAGGCTATCGATTTCCTACAAAGCTGTGCTAGTTTCATGTTTCTCGTATCACTCTGTGGTCTCTTCCATTTCACATAATAAAATAACTTAGACTCAAATCAATATTTCATGTCCTTTTATTTATTTATTTGTTAAGTAGCCATGTAATAGGTGGACTAATGTACAGCGTAACGGTCAATATTGCTAAATAACCCCAGTAGTTTTTTTGCGATAATGGCTGGCCTGCTGTACTTTATCCCTTACGCGAGTCTCTGGTTTGTCATTTGATAAATGTATACCCCTCTGTCTTTCTCAGGACGCTTTAACAGATCTTACTGGCGATTCTGAGCGTTTGCCTTTAGAGGAGCAGCACGGCACATGGCTCGGACACAAGGTGCTACACAAACACGCATATAAACTCAAACACTAGCAAACAGAAAACATATTGAACTTTGCAAACTCATTCTCATGAATCCTTTATTTAGGGAATGGTTTATTCAGCTGAATACATAAAGAAGAAACTCGAGCAAGAAATGATTCTCTCTCAAGCCTTCGGGAGAGATTTGGTAAGTGTAACCATTTGTCATGCTTTAAAACATACATATAGTTGACATCACAGGCATTTTAGACATCACAGAGCGTAATTATATTGTTTTTCCACAGACTGCAAAAGTCAGAAAAGTTAGAAAAGTGTTCTAATTTCCAAAAACATTTGCTCTACATCCGTGCAACACACCATTCAAGGAATCACCATATGATCAGTTGTGATTAAACTTCAAAAGGCTTTGATATAATTAAATAAATGTTAGCACTGCTCATTCAAAGTAAAAATGCAGCACTGTTGTGCTTTCTACAGGCTTTCAGTAGTTTCAATAATTCGCAATCAGTGAATACCAAATGCTTATGTTAAGGTTTTTATATAGTAATATGTTGTAGATGTTTGTAAGAGTGCATATTTTATCCCCCTCATCTTTTTGAATGAGCAGCTTTGAGTAAAAATTAGGGCTGGGTTTTGACACAAATTTCACGATTCGATTCGATTACCAGTTCGGTTCGATTCAATATCGATTATTTTGGATATATATCAGGTACAGTACTTGCCAAATTTTCTCAAGGAAAAAAAATCTCTCAACTAATGCTGTAAAATATACATGAGAGTCAGTTGGTACTACATTACTATAATATTGAAGGTTAAAATTGACTAATTTGTACGCTATAGCTGCTTAAATTACACTTAATTAAGTTTTTAAAATAATAAAGTTACAATTACATAATAATATTTTTACTTCAATTCGTTTTTTTTTTATATATAAACATTTAAATGGTGGCTGTCATAAAAAATTGATGGATTTATTCAAACAAACATAAGAACAGTAAAAATTATAATGAATATGTTATGTGGTGCATATATTTAGCAAAATGCCCCTCTCTACACTTTATTTTTCTGGCTGACTAATGAGTTTATGGTCACCGAATATTTTTGTTTCTGAGGTAAATGTGACGTTACGTGACATTGTTTACAAGATTTTATATTGACGTCGCTGCGCGGCTGAAACACTGATTGAGCGATTACATGAGACAGGATACGGATTGTAAAGTTGTACTCTTGCTTTTAACTTACCTTTGGATGTTTAGTTATGCTTATTTTGTGCTGAAGCTGGTATTAATGTGGCGATGATTAGTTCACGTGCGCCTCGTGCTGCTGCGTCTGTTGAACTGAGGCGCTACAGCGATCTGTCACTCCACATTAAACAGCGCCAAAAGGGCATTTATCATTTAAATACTGCAATACAATGGATGGACAGAATTTGAAATCTGAGACTTTGCTTCATATTAAAAGCACCAAAGCACAATGTTTATTGCGATATATTGGATGGGAAGTGCCCTTCAATGTTCCGTCCATTAACTGAAAACAGGCTAGACTAATTGATTCGTGGGATTTAAGAATCGATATCATTCCATAAAAAAGAGAATCGATTAATATCGAGATATCGATATTTTTTACCCAGCCCTAGTAAAAATGCATATACATGTCAAAATAAGAGTGTATTTCGGGCTTGTTTATAAATAAAAGTCCCACATTATGCATAAAATCTAGTTTTGGTTACACAATCACCTGTATATGGTGTTTAATTCAACATAAAATCTTGTGGCTTCTCTCTGAACCACAAGAAAATCTCTCTGTAGGTTTTACTAGTTTTGGCAAATTAATCTGTTTATTGCCTCTCTTCAAACTCTGTTATTAATGTATGCGCAAAATCTAATATCAGTCAACCTCAAATTTGTATGTATTGCTATAGAAGTACATAAACCAACTACAAAATATGTATATCTTGAAGTTTTGAAGTCGAATGTTTGCTTGTTGAAGTAAAATAGTACTTTTTGAGATTGTCTGGGCTTGTTCTGTATGAATATACAGTATTCATTTCATTTGTGCAGGTCTTAAAAAAGGTCTACATTTTTTAGCATGGTATCGAGACAAAACTTAAAGTAGTAGTAAATTCAGCCCAGTATCTTCAAACAACATTTGCATGTTGCTTGCAACATTTGCATTGTGCATGATATTATATGACACTAAAAGGTCCAATGGTGCTTGCGTGTGTGTCTCAGGGTAAAGGGACGATGCACTATGGGCTGGTGATTGTGGGTCACTCTCTGGGTGCGGGTACAGCCGCCATCCTGTCCTTCCTCCTCCGGCCGCAGTATCCTTCACTGCACTGCTATTCCTACTCCCCTCCCGGCGGCCTGCTCAGGTCAGTGTGACCTCTCTATTGTTGCTCTGGCATCCGTTTTGCACTACATTTATAGAGAAACCTGAAAACTGATCTCGTCTGAGAGAGAGAGAGACTATGTTTAGCCATCACTGAAGCATGATGACATTAGATAAGAGATTAAACTGATGTGTTAAAGGATTAGTTCATGTTAAAATGAACATTTTGTCATTACTGTTACAACCTGATGTCGTTCCAAAACTGTATTATGAAATTAGAATTTCTGTTTCCACTCAAGGAAAGTGAATGGTGATTTATAAGCTCCAAAAAGCATTATAAAACTAGTACTCTAAATCCTTAGTTATGATTTATGAGCCATAGTTTACAAAGCATTTTTCTGTGTTTTTTACTTCTTCTCATCTGCCATGTCTCAGATCATATTTTCTGCAGCATTGTGGTCAGTCACATGACTTGTGAGAACCAGAGGTGTTTGGTATTAGTGACAATTGCAAGTGTGAATTTGATTTAGAAAATCCAAAAAAAAAAATTAACACTGAAGGCTGGAGTAATGAAGCTGAAAATTTAGCTTTGCATCACAGGAATACATTACATTAAAATAGAAAACAGTTATTTTAAATTGCAGTAATATTTCACAATATTGCATTTAAAAAAAATTAAAAAAAGAAGACGACTTAAAAGACTTTCAGAAACATTTTAAAAATCTTACCAAACGTTTCATTGGTAGTGGTAGTTCATTTGAAAGCTATTATGGCAGCTTCAGAGTAGCATTCTTTAATGCTTTTCTAAATGAAAAAAAAAAACTCGAGATTTGTCACCAGCTACAGATCTCCTTCTCTGTAATGCAATTGGTTATTAGCACAAAAACATGCATGGATGCACAAATCCACTAATCTTTTGGAAGGATATTATTTGAGTTGAGAGTCACTCAAAACCTTTTCTGAGTTTTTGATTTAATGAGAAAACTCTTACCTGCCACACTAGTTTTTTTAAATTACATATTCTTTGTAAATCTAAATATAAAGTCAGCATTAAATCAACTGTTGAATATTACACTGAAATCTGTCACATCATGGCAGTAGAACAGATTGTGAACACTGTTTTTATGTTGACATCAAAGAACATGTTTGAACACAAGCTTCTGTGTCTGTTTAATTCATAGTGAGGATGCGGCTGTTGAATATTACACTGAAATCTGTCACATCATGGCAGTAGAACAGATTGTGAACAGTTTTTATGTTGACATCAAAGAACATGTTTGAACACAAGCTTCTGTGTCTGTTTAATTCATAGTGAGGATGCGATGGAGTACTCGAAAGAGTTCGTCACCTCAGTCGTGTTGGGAAAAGATCTGGTCCCCAGGTAAATGAGTATTCAGCTGTGCTTGCGTATATTTATAAGTCTGAGCAGACGGATGTTAATCTTCTTCTGTTGTGTTCATTCAGGATTGGCCTCTCTCAGCTTGAGGGCTTCCGTCGCCACCTACTTGAAGTCCTACAGAAGAGTGATAAACCAAAGGTGAGCTGCTTTAACTTGCTTATTCCCAGAGTTAGAACATAGTCTCCATGTGCCACGAACTGTTAATTTACTGTACAGTATACGTAACTATATTAATTCCATTCCAGTCAATGAGATAAAAATTTAATGAAATAAAGAAGGAAAAAAATAAGAACTTGATAAATGTTTTCCTTTCAAGAAATTTGTACACAGTATATAAGAAATGATCTACAATCACTCTGGTTTGATTGCAAAATAAGGAAGATCACGACCCTGACAAGGAGTGGTTTATTTTATTGCCATAATAGCAAATGTGGTTTATTTTGCCATAATGATGCTGACTGTACATTGAACTAAATATGTACAAATATGTACAGAATCAAGCATTCTAGAGAGTCCATGCATGTGGGTGATGGTGCAGTAGCATTTATTATCATTGTATTGTGCCAGTAATTAATTGCCCTCATTATATCTCTCACATTGTGCTTCACCCATATCCTTTTCCTTTGGGCGAATAAAGTAAATGATAAATTGTTATGTTACTAATTATAACCTCAGATCTGGGTTTCTTTTTTCTTTTTTACATCTCTTTTCTAGTTCATTCAGTGGAACATTAATCTCTTTTCTCAGGGTTGTGGGTTTGGGCCTCACATTTGGGTACGGTTTAAAAGTACACTACCATTCAAAGGTTTAGTGTCAGTAAGATTTTTAACTAGTTCACCCGAAAGTGAACATTTTCTGAAAATGTACTCACCCTCAGGCCAGGGTTTGTTTCTTCTTTGGAACAGATTTGGAGAAATGTATCATTACATCACTTGCTCACCAATGGATCCTCTGCAGTGAATGGGTGCCGTCCAAACAGCTGATAAAAACATCCACAAGTAATCTACAAGTAACTCCAGTCCATGAATTTACATCTTGTGAAGGGAAAAGCTGCATGTTTGTAAAAAAAAAAAAAAAAACTTCAAACTGTTGCTTCCACTAAAATACAAGTCCTCTATCCATAATATTGCTTTCTCCAGAGAAAAAGTTGTCTCATCTAAATCAGGAGAGGAATATGCATAGATCAAGCACCGTTTACAGGTGAAAACAAGCTAAAACAGTTCTAAACAAATATGTGGGTGGATTTTGATGTGAGAGGACAACTTTTTTTACTGGAGGAAGCGTTATTATGGATTATGGACTCATATTAATTTTAAAGTAATGATGATTTTAAGTCATTTTAAGTCGATGAGTCATTTTAAAGTAATGATGAATTAAAATATGCAGCTTTTTACTTCACAAGACATTAATTGGTGGACTGGTGTCAAGTGAGTTGCTTGTGGTGGTTTTATCAGCTGTTTGGACACTCATTCTGACGGCACCCATACACTGCAAAAGATCCACTGGGGATTTTCAAAAAAATTAAAAATAAAAATCTTACCGACCACAAACTTTGACAAACTCATCTACATCTTGGATGGCCTGAGGGTGAGTACATATTCAGAAAATTTTGGGGTGAACTATTCCTTTAATTTCTTTCTTTCAAAAAAATAAAAAATAAAAATCTTACCGACCACAAACTTTGAACAGAAGTGTACTCTATGTTAGTGCTTGCTTACATAACTTATAGTAGACCAGCTGTCCGGAAAAGTAGTCACCTACTCAGTTTAGCTTATATAAATGACTCACCATACACCACACAGCTTCAGAGATTTTTTCTATCAAATCCAACACTGCTGACGTGCAGCAGAGATGATGCAAAAATGAAAGCGTAGACACCTCCATTGCCATTAATGCTGCTTGCATCATGAACAGCGTCTCATATCTCACTTATATTTTCTGCCAGCCTCTGGTTAGTTTCAGGGAAGTTTGTGAGAAATTTGGCCTCTGTGTGATGCATTTCTGCTTATTAATGTGCATTATCACGCTGCCTACTTTGGTGGTTAGCTGCTCTTAGCAGGGAATGATGCTTGAAATGCTGCAGCTCACTAGGTTTTGGAACAGAGCCTGTATGTTTCTCTCTGTCTGTTTCCATCAGTGGCGGATCATTGCTGGGGGTACAAAGTGCATCCCTAAATCAGAGCTGCCCCTGGATGACGCAAACTTTGAACAGAAGTGTACTCTATGTTAGTGCTTGCTTACATAACTTATAGTAGACCAGCTGTCCGGAAAAGTAGTCACCTACTCAGTTTAGCTTATATAAATGACTCACCATACACCACACAGCTTCAGAGATTTTTTTCTATCAAATCCAACATTGCTGACGTGCAGCAGAGATGATGCAAAAATGAAAGCGTAGACACCTCCATTGCCATTAATGCTGCTTGCATCATGAACAGCGTCTCATATCTCACTTATATTTTCTGCCAGCCTCTGGTTAGTTTCAGGGAAGTTTGTGAGAAATTTGGCCTCTGTGTGATGCATTTCTGCTTATTAATGTGCATTATCACGCTGCCTACTTTGGTGGTTAGCTGCTCTTAGCAGGGAATGATGCTTGAAATGCTGCAGCTCACTAGGTTTTGGAACAGAGCCTGTATGTTTCTCTCTGTCTGTTTCCATCAGTGGCGGATCATTGCTGGGGGTACAAAGTGCATCCCTAAATCAGAGCTGCCCCTGGATGACGAAGCCCCTGTATCTCAGGGCGTGACCCCCTCTAACTCTCGCCTGTGGCTTCACCCCAGTGACCTGAGCATCGCCCTGTCAGCCTCCACACCACTCTATCCACCAGGACGGGTCATTCATGTGGTGCACAACCACCCGCCTGAGATGTGGTGAGTAGAGAGGAAGTAAACTGAATGGATTAATGGAACAAGGAAATGGGAGTCTGCTCTTCAGATAAGGGGTACACTCCAGTGCCTGGTATTATATTGAAATGTCTGGCACTGAGAAATGGCAGTTTTAGAGATTCTGCATATTTAGATTACCTGCATGAAGGTAATTTAATGCCTAAAAGATTTGCATACGCAGGGTAAGAGTTGTGGAAGTGTACATAAGTCTGTAAGCGTAAATTACATTTGCATGCGCAACAGAAGCTTTGTGAAGGTGTAAATCGCGTTTCAAGTGTAAGAAAAAATTATTTGCAGCATTTTACTGTTACTCGTAAGTGTAATTCAAGTATTGTGAAACTGCAGCTTCATGCTAACGCAAAATAAATATGATCTGCATTCTTCTGACTTCCATTTTTCCGCGCTTACACATTTGGCATGTTGTTTTCGCTAAAATACAGTCAAAAGTACTGCAAGCCTTTGAACAGTGATTTGCAAGCGAAAACAACAGTTTAAATAACTGCAAAATGGATTGACTGCATAGAACCAATCTGTATGTGTACAAAACTAACTGTTGCAAATGATTTCCTTATCACTTCTCGCGTGTGTTTTGTTGTGAAACGTAGTTTGCGGACCAGGCAGAGCTGTCGGCGATTCTTCCTATTGTGAAGTCATGCAGTGTGAAACCCCCTGTCGCCGATCCATCGTGCAATGTGAACACAGCAGCAGCTGAATGCTACCCCAGATAGTCACGCAGTGTGAAAACAACGGCGATCCGACGAGTTTGAAAATCGTGCAATGTGAATTCGGCATAACTGAGTTTTGCGAGCGTGAGGGGGAGGGTGGGTCCACCACCTTCTTGGTAGCCAATCAAATGAGGCTCTCGCTGACTATCCATTTACTCTTATCCGATTGGTTCAATAAACACATCACATGCCAAAACATTAATCTTCATTTAGTTCAGGGTCATTCTCGCTGCCAGAATGGTACTTTTAATGTACACATACATTAAAAATAAAAATAAATAAATAACAACTTTATTAAAACATGATACTTTATAAGTTGTGTACCGTTAGGCTATGTGTTCATACTGAATTTCGAGCTGTGTAGTATCCTTTTCTTCCTCAACAGGCTATATATGATATATTAGTTTATTGTAATATTGTAATTTTGATGATACTTAAAGATGTCCTCGTATCTGCACTAGTTTAATACATGTATAATTTCACCTGTCGACTGATCAGGGACGATTCCATTTTTTTTTTTTAACTAAAATTTGGTTCAATAATAATTGAACCAACAGTAATATATATATATATATATATATTAATTAAAAAAAAAATTTTTTTTTACTTTAACATGTTGTAATTTAAGGGGATTTGACTAAATATTACTAAAATATTATCTCTAACTTATTGGGAACTTTACCAATAAGTTCACCATTTATCATCTGTAATACCATTGTGTAACCACTAGATGGCTGTTTAGTTCTATAAATAAACATAAACATGGCTGTGTGTTCCCTAGTGGCTGGGAACGTTGGATTCCCACATAATTAGTTGCTTTAATTTGGATATATATTTAGACATCATTAAAGACATTTTTATCAAAGTTGTATTTTTATTTTTTTTTTTATTTAAAGTGTACGTTTTTGCGTTAGTCAAATCTGGACACAAAGAAAGCATTTTGTTGCTCATACTTGCTTCATATAATAGCTTGATCAGTCACATGAAAGTAATGAGAATCAATACCGAAATTTCAAAATATACAGTTGAGTGTTAAATACCGTAAACAGAGAAATGGTCTGAAAAACGGACAAATTCAGATTTATGTAGCTTTATTGGTTTAGTAAAAAGGTTTTACAAAGTATAGCACTCTGATACTTTAGTGCTGAGCATTGTCACATAACATCATTTTGACTGTAATGTTTAACATCAGCTCAATGGTGTATGCAGATTATATGAAATTTCAATGTAAAGCCAAACCAATCCAATAATCACAAAGCTTCTGTTGCGCATGCAAATTTAATTTACGCTTACAGTCTTATGTACACTTCCACAACTCTTACCCTGAGTATGCAAATCTTTTAGGCATTAAATTACCTTCATATACCTGCCTTTTTTGGTAAGTGAGCTGTAGGAAGTTGACGTGAGTGGACACATAAATAAAATTAAATAAACTGGGCTAAACTGGGTTGTAGCTTAAAAATGTACACTGCTGTTCAAAAGTTTGGATTCAGTCATTTTTTTCCCCCCAAAACTTTTATGCTTACCAAGCCTGCATTTTTTTAAATAAAAAATACTGCAAAGAGTTTGATAATGTGAAATATTATTAGTTTAAAATAACTGTTTTATATTTGAATATATGTTAAGATGTCATTTATTCCTGTGATGCAAAGCTGAATTTTCAGCATCATTACTCCAGTCTTCAGTGTCACATGATCCTTCAGAAATCATTCTAATATGCTCAAGAAACATTATTTACTATCGGTGTTGAAACTGAATGTGATGCCTAATATTTTTGTGTAAACAGTGATGCCTTTTTATGGTTCTTTGATGGATAGAAAATTCATAGAGTGTGTACAAGTCTCTCATTATCGATCAGTTTGATGCATCCTTGCTGAATACAAGTATTTATTGATTTATTTATTTAAAAGAAAATCTTGCTGACCTTAAACTTTTTAACACTTGTGTAAGTAGTAGTAAATATCATCTACTAGTAAATGAGTAAAACCTGTTTCTCTTGCAGTGTTTGCAAAAACGGTTTTGTTCTTTACAGAGAAATTTAATTAAACCCCATCTAATGTAGAGCAGTTCATTTTTTATCTGTCATACAATATCTTTGATGGCAGTTGGGGGTCTACAAAAGTGTATAGGCCTAATGAAATGCAAATGTTGGTAATATAATAATTGTTTAATATGTGTTACCATTTTGTTTTCTCAAAAATTACTCTTACAAGAAATATATAATTATTTCAGATCGTGATTTCAGTAATGCAAGACAAACAACGCATGGCCTCTGTGGACTTCCATATGTTTGGAAATAGATTTTTAACATTTCATTCTATGCTTCTAGGAAGAGTTGGACCTTTTATTTCCAGTAATTAACTTTGAATGTGTCACATCAGTTTGCAAAGTTTTCCTGTGAGTCTAAGAGTCCTCTAACCATCTCTCTCTCTCTCTCTCTGTAGTTGTGGTCAGGAAGATCCCACTTACTCCGCTCTGTGGGGGGATAACAAGGCCTTTGATGAGGTCATCATTTCTCCAGCCATGCTGAATGAACACCTGCCCCATGTGGTGATGGATGGCCTCAACAAGGTGTGTGTCTGTGTGTGTGTCTGTGTCTGTCTGTGTCTGTGTGTGTCTGTGTGTGTGTGTGTGTGTCTGTGTGTGTGTGTGTGTGTGTGTGTGTGTGTGCACGCTTTTCTGTCTAACACTTGCCAAATGCAACGTCAGTGATTGGGTAGCTAATGAAATGCCATTCTGGGCAAATCTGAGTAACACCGAATCCAGCATATATAAATGCAATAATAATATTAACTAAGTAAAATAGTAAACTTTCCAAAAGAACTGGAGAATATATTAAATAATAAAATAAATGCAATAATTTTGCAATATAAATACATTGTCATTTTGATACACTTGTATTAATTAAGTTTAATTAGACTATTTTTGCGATCCTGGCTTCGCTCTTGACTTTTATATGATTGTGAGAGCGTTAAGACAAGGATATTTTAATAATGCCTCTGATTAAACTTTAATAAACAAAATTTAAGTTGGCAAGTTTGATTAATTTCTTTAAAGCAGTTCAGACTGTCCATTTCAGTCAATTGATTCAAAAATCAAAACGATGATTCATTTGCATCATCACTCAAAAAACAAGTCTCTGTGTGGTTAAAAATGTTTTTATGGAAAAATACACAAATGGAAAACGTTGCTGAATATTTTAAACTAGATTTGTGCTGAATTTAAATATTTTGACAGATATCTCAAAGGTTGCAAAATAGTCAAATATAGTATTTATGCTGTAAATAGTGTTGATACTATTTAGTAAAATGTTAAATTATGTGATTTTCAGCAGCCATTACTCGAGTCTTCAGTCTCACTTGATCCTTCAGAAATCATTCTGTCACTTTTGATCAGTTTAATGCATCTTTACCGGATAAAAGCGTTAGTCTAAATTGCTCAGCAGCCCTGTAAAATAACATGTAACATAAGGTAAGTTCCACTGGATTCTGGTGTTCCCAGATCTGCTTTTGTTAATGGAATGGGTTCGGGGTCAATGAATCAGTTGCTTATAAGGCTTTTGGGCTGCAATGGACTCCAGTGTTGCAGATCTGTGTCAGCATCTTAGCCAAAGTGTGTCCTTTGTCTGTTTTTGCTGGACATAAAGGTCTGTCTTTGTTTTTGTCCCCTGAAACCGGAATTCCACGAGCATAAAAGCATTTCTGGCATGGCTGTTTCTTCTTCTTATTGCTATTACTGTTGCTCATATATAAGGTTAGGGGTTTGTTCAGAGCCCTAAACCTAAGTATGAAACTTTGGGTGCGCAACTTGTCCTGCTGCATATATAATGGAATGATAAATCTAGTTGCTCTTAAACTGGGCTGTCATACTGTCTTGTTTTGTTTTCTTCTGAAAGCATGTTCCATTGTTCACATGTCTGTTGTATGGTAATGTGTTGGTTTGTCTTCACAGGTGCTGGAAAACCTATATATTTAATTTCAGAACTGATTGCTGCACAGGTTGGAAGCCAGAGAACTAGCATCCAAGCGTGTGTTTCTGTCCCTAACGCACTTCCAGATCCCTCGCTAAAGCGTCTCTGTTCAGATGAATGTTTTATGGTTCCAGATACATGCTCTGCTTCTCGAACTCCCAGTGAAACGGTTTCTGTCCAACCACGAGGTTCAGACGCTCACAGGAATGGTTTATCGCTCGATAATACTGTCAGTCTTCAAGCAGCTTCCAAGTCAAACTCTCAAAACACTATGACAGAAACTCTCACCCCGTAATGTCTGTTACTGTAGATACATCTTCTATTGAGTTAGATATAAAGCCAGGAGACAATCTCTGTGCCCTTCAACAACCATCAACATGTCCATCTCTGTCTGAATCCCCAATGGTTGCATGTGCTCCCCAAAACGTTGCCCAGTCAAACATTTTATTGACCTCTGCAAAGTTGGACTTGCCAACATTAGAAATGCCCTCATCTGTCCAACACTCAACCATCAACTTTAACAGCTCTTTATCTTCCAAAATGACAAATTCCTCCTCTGATGTGTCCACTTCTGTATCCCGCTCTCAATTCCAGAAGACAACTTCCCAAACTCCATTTCCAAACACATCAGATTCCTCTTCTCCCCCAGAGTTCCTGTTAAAAACCAGCATAAATCCAGACTTTTCAGAGATCCCCTCAACTGGACTAATGTCTAAAGACACATTAGCTGAACTCTCAATGGAGAACAGTTCTACAAAATCCTCAGTCTTTGATAACACACCTTTAACTTCTCCTCAGGCTAGATTGAGTTCCTCGACTGCCCAATCTGAAGAGACCAATTTTAGTGGCACATGTTATATCTCAAGCCTCTGATATACACTACTGATCAAAAGTCTGGGGTCAGTAAAATATATATGTTTTAAAGATATTAAGAATTTTATTCAACAAGGATGCATTAAATTGATCAGAAGTGACAGTAAAGACATTTATAAAGTTACACAAATTCTATTTCTAATAAAGTTGTTCTTTTGAACTTAATATTCATCAAATAATTCTGAAAAAAATGCATAACATATTTCCACATAAATATTAAGCAGGACAATTGTTTTAAACATTGATAATAATAAGAGACGCAAATTAACATGTTAGAATGATTACTGAAGGAAAATTAAAATGTAAAATATATTCAAATAGAAAGCATTAAATTGTAATAACACAACTTTCACAAATTTTTACTGTATTTTTGATTAAATAAATGTAACCTTGGTGAACATAAAAGACTTATTTCAGATACATCAAAAAAATCTTACCGACCACAAACTTTTGTTTGTGTGTGTTACACAATGTGCAGTCCAACCAAATGCATGTGCTTTCTTCCTTTGCAGCTAATAATCTCTGTTCCTCGCTGCCAGAAACATCCATCAGCTCGAGCTTTGGGCATCTGTGGTGTCATTCTTTTCCTTTCTGCAGGTTCCTGGTCTCTCTATCAGTTCCTCTTAACTTCCTGTTTTGGTGTCGGGTTTATGCTTTAGCAGTTTGCAGCAGGATTTTCATTGCAGCTTCTCTCCCTCTCTGTGTGCCTTGAGTTTGTCACCTGGTCTTTTACTCTTGGAGGTGGATTTAGGCCTGTGGTGGTTCTTGCGGTGGGCACCGGCGTTTGTTTACCCTGCTTGTTGGTGGTGGTAGTTCTGCCTCAGAGGGTATATTTAAAGGAACAGTGAACACTGTCATCATTGTTACAACATGTATAACCAGGATAAATATCTCCTTTTGTGTTATATAGAGGAATGTGGAATTTTTTTTGCTTTAATATTGCAGAAAAATCTGGTGAAATTCTGCAGAAAATGTGCAAAATGGATTAAAAATCATGTTTACTCACGAATCTGTTGACCTAACATGCAGTTTACTGTTCATTCAAGATGCTTTTATTTACTTTTATAATTTTTAGAAAAAAATGAATGCTTAATCAGACAACTATTTTTTATGGAAGCCTGGAATTAAAAAAAAGGTTATTGTGACTTTTTGTCTCACAATTGTGACTTTTTTTCTCAGAATTGCATGATATAAACTCGCAATTGCGTGTTATAAAGTCAGAATTGCGTGATATAAACTCGCAATTGCGAGTTATAAAGTCAGAATTGCGTGATATAAACTCGCAATTGCGAGTTATAAAGTTAGAATTGCGTGATATAAAGTCGCAATTCTGAGAAATAAAGTCAGAATTGCGTGATATAAACTCGAAATTGCGAGTTATAAAATCAGATTTGCGTGATATAAACTCGCAATTGCGAGTTATAAAGTCAGAGTTGCGACTATCTCAGTTGCAATTCTGACTTTTTCTCGCAATTGCGAGTTTATATCTCGCAATTCTGACTTTATTTCTCAGAATTGCGAGTTTATGACTCGCAATTGAGAGTTTATATCATGCAATTCTGACTTTATTTCTCAGAATTGCGAGTTTATATCACAAAATTATGAGATAAAAAGTCAGAATTGTGAGATAAAAATTGCGAGTTCAAAATTATGAGATAAAAAGTCAGAATTGTGAGATAAAAAGTCGTAATTACCTTTTTTATTTTTTATTCAGTGACGGAAACGGGCTTCCATCATTTTTAGTATACCTTATAAATGTTTTTTTTTCTTTCTTTTTTGTCTCTAACTGCCTGTACAGGCTCAAATTGACTGAAATTTATACAGTTGCTCTTATTTGAAGTAAATGGTTTGGTGCAATTATTTTATTGTTTTTTGTAGTATGTAGCTTGTATTGTTATTTTATTTTATTTTTTGCATGCTACATGTACATCATTGTTTTACACAAGTTCTTCCATTGCATTTCATTGCATCCATCCATTAACTGATATCTTTGATTATTGTCTCTAACTCTAGCCATACTCATATGTTTACATACATTAATAAATAAAAATGCATTATCATCTTGTGGCTGTGTAAATGGACTTTTACCTTTGTTGTTCCATTCAGCTTTGTTTTTGTGGATTTGTCTTTCATAATGAACATAATACAGCTGATTTTATGTCACTGTGTTTTTGTGTTTGAAACTATCAAATATTCGTATGTAAAATGACTAGATTGGGGGTAAAATAGGACATTTGTCTCATGATTGGCAGCTCAGTTTCACTCGGGTGTGAACAAAAATGAATGAAAAGTGAAAACCCTGTTTGGCTAAAGAGTGCTTGCAAGATAAAGGGTATTTGAATTGAAATTTCACAGCATTAAATCTTGCTAGTATGGTTGCAGATTATGTATTTTCATAGTGTTTTATTCAAAGAAACGTATACTTCAGTAATCTGCATTTGGCATTGCAACAAATGAATATGTGATAAAGAATAGCCCTTGTCCTTATAAAAATGTATTCAGGTGCATTCATTTACTCTTGATATATAATGCATAACATTTTTCAAATTTTTCAAGTAGGCTGTGAGACCTGCTTATTTCTTTCCATTCATTCATATATTCATGTACATTTTTATTCTCATTTGTAGTTTTTATCATCTGTCTTGTTTTCTCTCTTCCTCTCTGTCCTGCAGGTGTTGGAAAACTATAATAAAGGGAAGACAGCATTATTGTCAGCTGCTAAGATAATGGTTAGTCCTACAGAAGTGGACCTGAATCCAGAAACGGTTTTCTTCGATGCCTCTAGTTCACTGCAGCCCACGCCTGCCACACATCACCGCAGAAACAGTAGTGTCCGGTGAGTCACGAGAGCCATTCAGAGTTTGAAACAAGCTGACTGACCAATCAGAACATACCAATGAGTGATCAATGTTGCAGATTTTCTTTAGGTGTTTTTAAGCATTTCTTATCGTTTGATTTTAACTCTATTGCCTGTCCTTCTCACTCATGCCAACTGCAGAGGTACAGTGTATGGTACTATACAGTTCCCCCCTCGTCCTCTCTGGTTCAGTAGAAAAGGACAGCCTAGACGTTAGTCACGTTAGTGTTGCCTAACCATAAACCTCCCTTTTCTTTCCCCCCTTTCTAATTTTTTCCTTCTCTTCCCTGTTCTCTGCTTTATTTTTGATTTAATATGTTGAATGTTTTTTTGTTTTTACCCTTACTTTTTTTATTACATATTATTTGTCATCTTATATAATTTATTTAAATATATATATATATATATGCATATAAAATTGATGCGAGTAAATGTAAAAAATTATACATCTTGCATAACATTTTTATATCATTTTAATCATTTTTTTCTGTTTTATCTTCCATTAAACTTTGTATTTTTTCTGCATTTTATGGCATTATTTTCCTTTTTTATGCATTTTTTAATATCCTGCATTTTATGGATTTTTTTTTTTAAATATCCAATTTTTTCCCTTGCAAACTATTTTTAATTCCCTAATTTTATTGTTATCATCCTTCTCTTTTCCCCTTCCATGCTGTCTGTCTCTCTGGTCTTTGTTTATTTTCTCCGTATGTTACTCTACTCCTGTGCCCACTTCCTGTCCTGTCCTGTCCTGCTGTAGTTCCTGTGCTCGCTCTGAGATCTCACTGGACGGTTTCTCGGAGTGTCCGCCTCCTCCTGTGCCTGTGGTGCTCACCAGCCCTGGTGAGCGATTAGCTGTGGAGCTGCGGGAGCGAAAAGCCCCCTTGGCCATCATGGAAAATCTATCTGACGCCGAATCCATGTACAGCTTGGACTCCCGACGATCATCTGCCGCCCTGAGAGGCTCACCCTGTTTGGGGAGTCTACCTTTCCCTTTGGACGCCACCATCCCAGAAGAGAATCCTTCGCTGAGTTCCCGTACGGAGCTGCTGGCCGCAGACGGCTTGGACCGTGAACTGGGCGAGGCCGGCCCGTACTGCCCTACTCCTCCAGAACTGGAAGTATCTACCAACAATGCCCATCATCTCAACTTCTCTCCGCTCTCGCTTGGACAAACTATCGTAGATCAGCCAGCCAGCCAAGGCAAGAACTCCCGGCGGTCTTCAGGAACGCCTGTGGCTTGCCAGCCATCAGCTGTTCCTAACAGTCAAGAATCCTGCCCAGTAGCATCCCGGACTGGTTCTATGCCAGAAATGCCCAAGGATAGAGAGTTTGAAGAGGGAGAAGTTGAGAGTGTCCGGTCCGAGACTCTTCCACCAGTTCCTCCGCTGTCCAACGGCACTCCTAGTCAGGCGGTCCTAGAGTTCGCCCAGTACCTGGACTCTCTATTTAGGCTGGATGGCAGCAGCTCTCCACCTCTTGAGCTGTCCGATGCAGAATCCGAGTCTGGACAGGGATCGTATAGCCAGGCTGAGGGACAAAACGCAGACAAGGACAGGCAGCTACTGGCTAGAGCCACTCTAGAGCCCAACTTGGTTCCTAAGCCGCCTCGCACGTTTGCCGGCTCGGCCGACCCTTCCTCTGGCATCTCGCTTTCTCCATCCTTCCCGCTCTCATCTTCTGGAGAACTCAACGATTTCTCTCCTCCTGACGGAGTGCTACCCGCCAACCATACGTCTGCGCTACGAACTTCCGCTGCTAGTCCCAACCCTAAGGAAACTATGTTGTCGTCTATGGTGTAGTGGCCCACTTTCGTCTATTTATTTAACCCTACGGTTTCCTTTCTCCTTCTGAACTGATCGTAGAAACGTGCATGCGTAGCACTGTGGCCAGTCCTTCCAGACTTCCAGACTTCTGGACCGTTAAGGATTCATCAAGAACAGAAGACCTCATTTTGTACTATTGTAAGACATGTAAGATATGCATTGTGTCTTGTGCATCACCATTATGAAGTGTCCTAATCGCTGCCTGCAACACATGAGGTACTGAGGGGCTCCTTCGAACACTAAAGATGTTGCTAGCATATCGAGAAGCTTGCACAAATGACCCTACGTTCACATTGAATCTAATGTTACGGTTATGTTTACATTGACACCACAGAACACCAAGCTTTCACAAATGTTGGCAGTTTCATGTAAGTGAAAGGCTGGAATAGGAAAGAGGGAAGACTAACTAACTTAATTGAGTTATGGGGAGGGGCGCACACAACAAGCAGTGGGCTACATTTCCTCAGGACCTTGAAGAATGAAGAATGGGACAAAGACGTCTCAGGCTAAGCATAGTAAATTGCTGATTTTTTTGGATTGTACTTTTTCATTTTTTTTTATTGAAGATTGTGTGGAATGTCCTGCTGAGTATGTGTAATTGGTGGCACTGACGGTTGGTGGACATCTATGAGTTCTCGATGTGCATGAGAAAATACTGTATGCTCGTGTAAAACGTTTCGTTTTGCTAACTTTTGTCATCTATTATTTACATAAATCCACTTGAATTTACGCATGCAAATTTTCTATCATTTCTTTTTCCACCGATTGCCAAAAAAGCTAACTTCATACAAGTCAAATGTTTGAACTCTGTGAAATTAATATATAATGATAATTACTGTTATTAGGGCTGTGCAATTAATCACATGCGATTGTCATGCGCATCTCGTCAGTAAAGCCGGTTCCGTGATTAGTAGTAAATCTCCATCACCTGCTTTCAGATGGAGCGGCATTTACTACACAGAACCGTAGTTCACTGACAATTAGGCAATATCGCGTTCGATTATGAACGCGATATTGCCTAGCTTGTCAGTGAACTATACTCTGTCTATTAAATGCCGCTTCATCTGAAAGCAGGCGATGGAGATTTACTACTACTAATCACGGAACCGGCTTTACTGACGAGATGCGCATGACAATCGCATGCGATTAATTGCACAGCCCTAACTGTTATTATTATTTATTTTTACAAACCACTGCCCATAAATGCGAATGACATCAGGAAGAGTTGTTGAATGGTACGAGACGTGCACCAGTCACAAAATGCGCCCTTTAAATGGCTCGCCTGAATCTGCGATGTCTTTTACGCAGCACGAGACGCGTCCATAGTGAAAAGTCTCTTTCGGTATGGGTATGGCGTGCAATCAGTAGCAAAATAAGCATAGAGAGATTTCTTCTCATCTGCTTTTTTTAAAAACCATTTCTACTGTTGTTGCTTTAAAACAATAAATAGTGGTTTATTTCAATGGCGAAATATTTTAATAACTTAGACTTGCTTTTTATATATCGTTTCAGGATGAAGTGTTTTTGGGTGGTTGTGTGAAAAAGTACAGCGGTTTGTCACCACAAGAGCTTTGCGGTTCACAAATGTGTCAAGTATTTTATTTTGTATGCTGTCGATTGTTTTATAGCACAATTCCCATGCTTTGGTTGCATGTAATAATTTGTTAATAATTGGTTATAGATTCTGCATGTGACAAAACCAAACTTATCACTTCTCTGGTTGAGATTTTTTCTGATGTAAATGTAATATAAATGATCAAAAGTTTGGCATATATAGCAAAACACATACTTATTTTCCTGTTCTTTTATTGCTGCTTTCCTAAATAAGTTGTGACTAAATAACTTTGTAAGCTGTGACTGCTGTACTTTTTCACAAAAAGTTGTGTATAGCACTGCCTTTTCACGTGAGTGTAAATACTGTCTTGTTTCCAGTTGTTGTGTTCAAAAAATAGATATAAAATCAATGGGACTTATCAATAAAAAGCTCTATCATGTACCATAGTGATGACTTTATCTCAAATGTATAGCTATATTGATATATCTACAGTATAAATTATAAATAGAGAAAAATGCTGACTATTCAGGAACAAAAATCTGATACTGTGGCCATATGCTGACTTCAGAAAATATATGATTGAACATTCATTCTTAAAAAAAAAAAAGAAAAGAAAACTCTTTTCATGTCTGTCACTACCCTGCCAGTCTTTCAACTTTCAAGAATGAGAATGTATTTAAATGCACACACTTACACTGCCCTGCCTGTAATAGAATAAATCATATGGATCTCTGACTGACTTTGTTTCTCTTGACTTTGTTTATTAAGCTGTCTAGGGGGTATGCTTGGATGTTTTATTAACTTAAAGTTTACTACATAATGGCAATACAATATTCAATTCATTTTATTAATAAAAAAAAGAGTAACTCATGGCTCATTAGCATAAAGACCTTCACTTCGTTACAGAAAGCTTGAAAAATAAAGACAGAATATAAACATTTTCTTCATTATCTGGACTATTTCTACATCATGACGAAGAAGAAAATATTGAATTTTTTTTTTCTTGAATTTATGGGAAATATAAATCGGACCTTTTTTGGAAATATTTTCAAGGGTTTTCAATATTTTCAACACTTAAAATGTCTGTAATACAATTATTTTAGTCTGTCCCACCTCAGAGGTCAAGACCTTGATCCCATCAATTTAATTCAGACAAAATTTAGATTTTTACAATCTATTGAATTGATATTCAATTAATTATAATTATTTTTTAAGTAGCTCATTTTAAAGATCAAAAACTAGAAATATAATTTCTATTCATTTTTATTTCAGTTTTAGTTATTTTACAAGTTAAAGTAAAAAACGATAAATGCTGCCTTGGAAAGTTGAAATAAGGGTTTTTATATTTTATTTTGTTTACAGGTTATTTATTTATTATTTAACTGTAATAACCCTGCAATCAGTGTTTCCTTGAAATTAAGCATTTCCTTTCACTGACTGTTTGCTGGATAAGAAATATAAGTTTTTTAAGGGGTTTTAGGGCCTATGGCTGTAGCCCAATCATGGAATGTGCCGTATTGCACCATGTATTATTACTATTATAAAGCAAGAAAGAAGAATAAAACTTAAAATGTTTACAAGTACTAGATAGTACAGCTTTCTAATTTTTCAAGCCTTAGTGTTTTTAGGTAGACTATTGTAAAATAAAAATAAAAAACTCCTTTCCACCATATTTACGTTCATGTATCATTATAGGAGTAACAGATTAACTGAATAGGATTTCTTACGAGGACTGCGGCATGTGAGGATTTAATTTATTTATGTTTTTGTTATTACGAACATTCTATCATCAACCAATAAAAAGCTGTTACAATACAAAAATACAAAATAATAAGAAGAAGTAGACTATTTTTATATAATAATAAGAAGAATCACAAAACAAATAAATTAACTACTAGACAGGGGTGTACAATTAAACAAAACACATTACATTCGAAGGAAAAGATTAAACAGCTCAGTCATTCTTGAGACATTGGACAAAACAGGTCCAGCAAGGGTAACTGCTATTAGGTTTAAAAATACAAATATTTTCAATTTTAAACGTCATGAGGGTTTAATAATAGAATGTATTTAACACAATTATCACCTTCAATTTAATTTTCTCATTATTATACCAAATCTATGTTTCTTAATGTCCTCTCACTACATCTAAAACAGTGTGTCCACAGAGAAGGGTTCAATCATTCATATGCAATAAAATGGATAAAAATGTTTTAGTTTTTTTAATGATGAAAAAGCTTGTTTTATCTAAAGCAACGCTTCATAATATCTCCTATCAAAGCAAGGTTGTTTTTTAATGACACATGCTTGTTTAATACGATTTTAAAGTTGCGTCCCCACTTTTTGTCAACACCGTCAGACATTCAATAAAATGTAATAAAATCAGGGAATATCAGGGGCAGCTGTCACTCTAAAGGACCCCCTTGCCACAGTTCATCTCTGCAGAGTACATCAGTGTCGGACAGGCTCTGCTAAGTTGTATAGTTTTAGAATATTTTAAATCCTAATGTTAATATTTCCTTTGTCACAGCCATGATATGTCAACACCATCTTCCAATTTCTGAGGAAATTATTTGAAATATTTAGATAATTTTATTCTCCTGAAGCAGGTTCCATTAGCATCTAGCATCAACAGAAAAAAATAAAATGGCTACTACATGAACTCCATTGGTTTTGTGAAAGAAATGCCAAATTTGTCAACACCGTCAGATGTCACCACCATAAGATTTTGTGTTCCAATGATATATCAAAATACTTAAATGTGACTCCTGAATAAAACCTTTATAAACAATAACATACTCACTGTTTGTTTTAATACAGTAATTGACTGATTCAATGCATTTGATAGTTAAAATGACTACAAATCCAGGTTTTCGTCACCTCCATCAGTTGATTATTTTGATAATATTTCATTATGATATTTTATATTTGTTGTGGAATTATCGGTAACATGTGAAAGTGTAATCTGTCTGCTAACACGAGAATGTGTTTTGAAATGTTAAAAACATCTTGAATGCTGTTAAAGATAAAGTTGAAATTATATTACACACTCCAAGCTAAAAAAAGCACATTTTGTTAAAAAAGAGAAAAGTTGGGAGGTTGTATCAAAGCATAGCTCAGTAGCTTAGTACATATAAGATACATAAATGTAGTTTCATTTGTCTGCGTACAAGGTTTTATTTTTTCAATTTTGCACCCTGTTTTGTCCCACTTCTCAAGAATGACTGAGCTTACAAATTTCAACTGTTTTAAAAGCCTTCTTATTACTTGAGTTAGAAATAGTCCCAAAGTAATGCTGTATTTCAGCAAGCAAGACATAAAACAGTGGCTTCTGACATGATAATTTACATTTATGTATATACAATTTTGTTAACAAGATAAGAAGAATAAGTACAATTAGTTTTTCTGTAACGCACTTTTATGCGACGATGTGTTCTGTATTGGATGACCGTAGAGAGTGACGCAGCAGTGACGCGGCGGGTCTGTAATAAGGATCCGCTCACTCAGTAAAGCGCAGGTCAAGCAGCAATACACACTCACACACACTTTATCACACTCACCCTACAACACTGAGACATGGACTCAGACGAGGGCTACAACTATGAGTTCGATGATGATGAAGAGGAGGAGGAAGAAGAGGAGGAGGAGGAGGAGTGCAGCGAGGACAGCGGGGAAGAGGAGGCCGAGGATGAGGAGCTGCTGGACCCGGCCGTGGCTGGAGGAGAAGCCGAAGATTGCGCTGACACCGGCGGCGGCGGAGGAGGCCTGGGGCCCGGCCAAGAGGAGGAGGACTACCGTTTCGAGGTGCTTACCACCGAGCAGATCCTCCAGCACATGGTGGAGTGCATCAGGGAGGTCAACGAGGTCATACAGGTAACTTACATAACAAACAGATTTACTGTCGTTTTCCTGGGAGTTTATAAGTTTGTTTATGTGGAGGAATGATGCTGTTAGCATTTAGCATTAGCGGCTAACTGACATGAGAGGACTGATGATGCGAAGTTAACCATTTGTTTTTAATCTTAGTTGTGATTTATTGACTGTTTTTATGTTTGTGTGTTGGTGCCTTGTGTTATTTTAGTGAATTTAACGTTAAGTGATTTTTTTTTTGTCAGCTAGAGTTAGCTAGTTCTGCTAGCGCGACCCAGTTTACAGAGACTGGACTTTATTTGACAGCTATTATGGATAGTATCTATTCTAAACGTATCGTATGTTTTTAATCTTATTAAAATTGTGTTATGAATCAGATGGCAGTGTGTTTTATGTTCGTTGTTATTTTGAAGAAGACTAA